ACTGAGGGTTCTAGAGGGGAGGGGGGTGGGAGGATCAGTTAGCCTGGTGATGGGTATTAAAGAGGGCACATTCTGCATGGAACACTGGGTGTTATGCACAAACAATGAATCATGGAACACTACATCAAAAACTAATGATGTAACATATGGTGGTTAACATAACAATATATTTTTTAAAAAAGAATATAGATTCTAAGAACACTGTCAACAATGTTGACTCAATTGACACTTGATAAAACTCTACCCCCCAAATGGTAGAATACACATTCTTCTCCTGTGCATGTGGAACATTTACCAAGGTATACCATATTCTGGGCCACAAAATAAACTCAAAGTTAAAAGGACTTAAGTCATCTAAAGTATGTCTTCTCACAACAAAAGACAGTGTAAGAAGGTAAAACTCCGGGTTAATAGCTCTCATGAACATCGATGGAAAAAATCCTAATAAAAATCTTAGTAATTTGAATCAATATATAAAAAAGATAGTACATCATGACCATGTAGAGTTTGTTGTGGGAATGCAAGGTTGGTTTAACATAAAAAATCAATCAGGGGCGATTGGGTGGCTCAGTCAGCTAAGCATGATAACCCTTGATCTCAGCTTAGGTCTTGATCTCAGGGTCGTGAGTTTAAGCCTCGTCCTGGGCTCCACGCTGGGCATGGAACCTACTTAAAAAAAAAAAATCAATGTAATTCACCATATTAACAGGCTAAAAGGTTACCTAATGTTTCTCTCAAAAATACAGGGAAGGTATTTGAAAATTCAACATTCATTCCTCATTAAAACTCTCAGAAAATTAGGAATCAGAAAGCACTTCTTCAGTGTGTTAGAGGCTATTTTTGAAAACCCTGTAGCTAACATCATACTTAATGGTAGAAGACTGAATGGTTTTCCCCCGTGGTCAGGAACAATGCAAGAATGTCCGCTCTCACCTTTTCTATTTAAATTACAGTGGAAGTTCAAGCCAGCACAAAAAGATAACAGAAATAAAAGGCATCCAGATTGGAAAGGAAGAATTAAAACTGTCCTTTATTTGCAGATATAACATAATCATCTAGAATCTACAAAAACAGCTACTAGAACTAGTAAATAATTTAGCATGTTGCTAAATATATACAAAAATAACATGCAAAGTTTAATTTTGTTTCTATGTAATAGCAATTAACAACCAGAAATTGAAATAAATACCATTTACACTAGTACAGATACACAAAATACTAAGAGATAAATCTGACAAAAGATGTTCAAGACTTGTACACTGAAAACCACAAAACATTTCTGAGAGAAATGAAATAAGACCTAAATAAATGGAGAGATAGCCCATGTTCCTGGTTTCGAAGACTTGACGTTGTCAAGGTGTCAATTCTTCCCCAATTGATCAATGCATTCCCAGTCAAAATTTCAGGAGGGCTTTTTCTAGAAATTGAAAAACTGATTCCAAAATTCATATGGAAAAGGGAAAGGACCTAGATTGGCCAAAACAACTTTGGAACAGAGCAGTTGTTGGACCAACACTACTGATTTCAAGGTTTACTATATAGTTCTTGTCATTAAGCCCCTGTGATAACAATGCCAAGGGAACCAAATAGAAGATCCAGAAATAGACTCAGCGTATAATCTGTAGTGACAAAGAGCAGATAATCGTTTGTGTGTGGTTGGCTGAGTGGTACGGGGCAGGAGGGGAGGGGTACCTAGAAACACAGAAGCTTTGGGGAGTGAGGTATATGCTCACTATTTTTATTACGGTGATATTTTTATGGGGGCATACATAGGTTAAAACTTTTCAGAAGGTATACTTCAAATATATACAGTTTACTGTCAGTTATACCTCAATAAAGCAGCTGGAAGAAACTTAGTGCAGCTTTCAAGTTACACAGAAGAATAAGAATAATGAAGTAATAACTATCATCTACAGAGAACTAGGAGGAGCCAGCACTGTGCTAGCATCTCTGTATCTACCTGTCCTTATTTTATTCTCCTAACAACCTTGTCAGGTAGGTGCTGCTTTTAGCCTCTTTTTTACAGAGAAGGCCATGGAGACTCCATGATTTTCCCAAGTCAGGAAGCCGTGGAGCCAGGATCTGAACCCAAGGCAGCTGGTTCCAGAGCTGGGGCTCTGAACCACTGTAGGTGTTGATTAAATGTCTTGCCTTTGTCATCTACAGGGGAGAATCACAGAAGAAGCCACAGCTGAGGAACTTCTGTCAGCAGTCCATAGTGGAAACACTAGTGAGATGGAGGTAGGGTTTGTGTGCCGGCTGGTGGGCCCCACGAGGTTCACTGCTCTCCACTCAGTGTTGGTGAGCTCTTTCCTCCTCCAGGCTCCCTGCTTCTCTCTACCAGCTCAGAGCTGGCACCTTCTTTAGCACCGACTCCACAAAGCCTCCCTCGATGAAGTCTTTCTCCACTGAGAAATCCTTTATTCAGTATCCCTTGTACAGCTTGGTCCTAGAAGTTATACTGTTACAGATTCAGGCCAAGGGGTGGTAGCATCTTCTGCCAGCAGCCACCCCTGGGGCACTTCTTTATCCTTTGTTGGTTTCCCTTCTCCCTGCCCACACCTTCACATATGGTCCTTTATTGAATCTCCTTGGTTTGCTTCGCTGGAGTGTGCCCTCTGTTTCCTGCTAGAAACCCAAGGATTCAGGTAATTTGGCAGGGCTCTGTGGACCCTGCTCGGGATTTTGGATTTTTCCTAAGGAGCAGAGGAAGGCTTTGAAAGTTTTAAGTGGGAGATTCACATGATCAGACACTCTCATGCCCCAGTGGTGAGCCCAGTTTTGAGCTTTCAGTCGATTCCCCATTGCCTCTTCTGGACTCGTGAGTCAACCTGAGAAGTCTGGAGAGCCCTTGAAGGAACAGGAAGTCGGGTCATCTCCACGGAGATCTGGGAGGACCACATTACTGGAACACTAATCCCAGACATTGGAATTCTGAGAGACGGCCAGATTTTGTCACCCCTTTCTTCTCCAGATTCTGAGAAATTAAGAAGCCTACACAGAAGTCAGTAGGGATAAAGGTGCCACTTGATTTTGGCCAAAACTGAACTGGAGAACAAAGCTTGGACGTGTGACAGGTGGATTTCCTAATTCCCCCACTGAATCCAGTGTACACACCTGGCCAGAGGCAGGACTTCACCGTTGGAGCAGGGTCTGCCCTCCTGGGCCGAGTGTGTGGAGGACAGGAGAACTCATGCAGTCAGGAGCAGGATGTGCTGCTAGGAAGAGAGTGCATCAGGCAGGTGGGGGCCCATTTTCCAAATCTCACTTTAGCACCTACTGTGGGACCCTACCCATGTCCTTCTGGCACTGCTCATTCCTCAGCACTCGAGGACAGGGACTTCAGGTGCCTGGTCTTTCTCTGGCGCCGTGCTGCAGGCAGGTCAGAATCTTTGGGGGGCAACCATCAGACAATGACTGAAGGTAGTTGGAGAATCAACACCCCAGTTCCTTTCTCTTAGGTGGGACAGCTCTGAGAGTATTCTCCACAGTCTCCCAGGGATTTCAGTGGGATTGGATGGGACACTCTGCGTTGGTGTCCTTCCCTTCCTTGCCTCCCTTCTCCACTCTCCTTGCAGAATTCCTAGCATCACTCCCCGAATAAACTTAGCTCAGAGTTTGCTTCTGGGGACACCCACACCAGGACACTGACTCCTCAGGTTCCGGGGAGGAATGAGGCATGGAGCAGAGGGTGAGGCATGCTCTATTTCTAAGAGGTAGCTATACCTGTAGGGACCCAAATCAGAATGTGGATGTGGAGGAGGGGACAGGATGGTCCCTGCTGCATTAGACGTACTGGACCCCCAGAGGGCATCTGGGTCAACAACGTGGATTGATGTCCTATGTTTATCTCCTCTCCCTTCTGGAAAAAAAACCACAGAAAAGACAGTAAAGCAATAAGAAGTGGGGCACAAATCCACAAAGACAACAAGACTAGGAGAGGAGATATTAGAAGGTGAGCCCTTTCAAAATGTTGAGAATGAAGAAAATCGATGGAGGAGTTTACACTGGCTTAGCACAGCGGAGAAAGGAGAAGGTCCAGCACCACTGTGAGGGGAGGCACTAGCAGAAAGCGGGTACCTTCTCCTCCTGTGTCCACAAAAGGCCCAGGGCCTGGGGCTTCTGGAAGGCAGGGCGAGGACTGGGCTGAAGTGAGGGGTCTGACAGTCTGCTATGCAGTGTTGGGGACACTAGAGTCCTTGCGGACAGCACCTGGCCTGTCTACTGTACTCAAGTGAAATAACCAGATGACTGTCCTCTGGTTAGATGGGACAGAAGCAGCTCTAAATTCAGGTTCAGCCCGCACTGTGTGAGGCTGTGTAATGGGGAAAAGGCAGAACAGACAAGTAAGTGGAACTCTCCATTTCAAGTGGAGAAACCTCTGTCCTCTCCTCCCACCATGTTCTCCAAATGCCAGAAGCCAGGTCTTTGTATTAGTTTTTTATCACTATGGTAACAAATTATCATGAACTTAGTGGCTTAAAACAACATAAATTTATTCTTATACAGTTCTGGAGGTCAGAAACCCAAACCAGTGCTAAGATCCAGGTGCAGGCAGGACTCTGTTCCTTCTGGAAGCTCTAGGGGAGAATCCCTCCCTTTGCTTTTGCTAGCTTCTGGAAGACACGTGCATTCCTTTGGCATGTGGTACCTTCCTCCATCTTCAAAGCTGGTAGCATTGTATCTTCCAGTCTCTTGACTCTGACCCTCCTGCCTCTTTTTTATAAGGGACCCTCCTGATTATTTGGGCCTACCTAGATAATCCCGGATAATCTCCTTGTCTTAAAATCTTCACTTAATGACCTCTGCAGAGTCCCTCTTGCTCTGTAAAATGCACAGGTCCTGGGAATTGGGCCATGTACAGTTTGGGGGGCCACTGTTCTGCCTATCACAGTCTCCAAGAGATTGAGCACATATTCAGAGACATGGGGGTAAATACCAAAGAAATGAGAAAGTTGAAAGGGCTAGCCAATGGGAAGAGGAATTGAAGGGACAGGGGACTCCTGATATTCTTTATAAGGTTTTAGTGCTGATATTATTTTAATGTTTGATGCATTACTTTGATTTAAAAGAACTCTGAGAAGGATCTCAGAATGAATCGTTTTCCTCTGAGCTATAACACCTTCTTAGACGCCCCTAAAATGAGCCTGGAAGGTCTAACACTAACTTTCCAGGTGGCTCCTGCCCATTGGACCTCCCTGGGCTCCACCTCACCACGAAACCGCCCGACAGTCCCAAGACCCAAAAATTCTTGTAGCACAAAATCACAGTGAAAACACTTTGGGAGGCAGAGGTATTTTGCTTATGGAATTGATAGGTATATAGTACTACCACACTCTAACTTCTCCCCAGCGTTGCAGTTGAAATATGGATCCTATGTGAAAGACCAACGGAAACCATTCGTTTTCTGACCTTCACGTAAGGACTTCTTTCAATCCCTTTATAAATCTTGAATATCTCATTAAGAACATCTCATTAAAACTAGGCCTGGCTCAGGACGATTTGTTTCAGGTGAGACTGTCACATCTGTCCTAGAGAGATTGTATAATGAAGAGATGATGCAACCACTAGCCCATTAAATTGCAGAAAATGAATAGGATTCCCGCTTGGTTCCTCCTGTCTCCTTGCTGTAGGACATAGAAAACCTCAGTCAGCAGTCCACTATGGGTGATACAGATGGCTGTGTCAGCTGTTTGAGCTTGGCATCCATTTCGATGCCCGAGGAGACCAGCGACTTCCGCCCCATCTACAAGGGAGCCTCAGCTGCTTTTTGTATTCAGCTCTTTTGTATTGAGGAGAAATACGAAGCAAGGCAAGTACTGGTTGTCTATCATGGTAAGACTTTTCTTACGGCATTGGTGGCCTCACATTTTAATCTTATAGAGCCCTTGGTTTCCAAACCTGGCCTCACATCCTAATCCCGCTTTTTGTTTTTGTTTTGTTTTGTTTTGTTTTGTTTTTTTAAGCATAGATTTCTGGGCCCCAGTCCCAGAGGTTTCAGTCCATAAAATTTGGGCAAGGGCCACAGAACGGGACTGCCCAGGTTTTGGCTCACCTGTGTAACAGTTGGAGATCTGGAAAATCATCACTTATGTAACCACATGCTGCTCTCCTTTCTCTAAAGTTTGCATTTGGGGGGAGCTTTGGATTTAGGTGATTGCTTGTCTGGAGTCTTTTGGTTGCAAGTATGGAAAATCCAACCCAAACTGGCTTTTAAAAAATGGAATAATTGCCTCATATCATAAAGGATAAGTCCACTGGTGGGATTGATTTTCAATGTGGCTTGATTCAAGATAACCCCATCAAGTTCCAAGTTTCTCTCTCTGCCTCCTGCCTCTGGTTCCCTGCTGCTGGCTCCTTTCTCAGGGGAGTGTCCCTTCTTGGGGCCAAAGAAATGGACAGTGGGCTCAGGCTCTGTACCAGAAGCTAGTGAGGAGGACTTTGAGCCTGGCTTTCTAGCTAAAGCCCCATCGGGCCTGATCAGACTGTGTGCTCATTCCTGAGCTGATGGATGGGGCCAGACCAGGACATGACAGCTTAGTCCTTTGCCTCATGCTCCCCCCACCCAAATTTGGGGCTGGAGCCTTACCCATGTGTAATCTGAGTGGGGCTAGTAGGACACCGAACAACAATCCAGGGAAGTTGCTAGAAGGAGGAAGCATGGTGCCAGACAAAGCCTGGGTACCCACCAGACCACTCATTCACCCCACTTCCTATCCCCATGTGTTCGGTGCTTGCTGCCATCTATAGTCTGGAAGTGGACCTTTGACCTAAATGCCTAGATTCCACATCTCCTTTGGAATTCCCACCAACTCCACCATTTTATTCACAGAACAATCTGGAAGAGGAAAAGATTGGCTCATTTTGATAGACCGGAAGATTCAGAGTATCCTTTAGATGACCAAGAATGCTGCTGGACATTTCCTTCTTAGAGAATGTATTTAAACATGCTCCCAGTCTCTCAATCTCACTTAGAATCATGTTTTACTTGTACTTTTTTCCTCTTAAGTTTTCAATTTCTTGGGAAATCTTAGAAGTTGAAAAGGGAAATCTTTATTTTACTTATATTGTAGACATCTAAAAAGCCTATAAGCCCTTTTAGATTAGTTGTGTATATTTATTTTCCCCTGTGCATTCAGATATGATTGTGCTTAGAATGTGACTTTTGAATTTTCAGACAGAAATTTTTTTTTTTAAAGATTTTATTTATTCATTTGAGAGAGAGAGAGCACATGAGAGGGGGGAGGGTCAGAGGGAGAAGCAGACTCCCCGCTGAGCAGGGAGCCCGATGCGGGACCCGATCCCGGGACTCTAGGATCATGACCTGAGCTGAAGGCAGTCGCCCAACCAACTGAGCCACCCAGGCGCCCTTCAGACAGAAATTTGATGATCCATTATGGTTTGCCTGTGACTCTACAACCACAGGTGGTCAGAAAATCTTTTGCATGTAAAAGAGAAAAAGATCAGAATTGCTTATAATATACCCACGTCTCTCTGACAGCTCTAACAAAAAAGGGAGGGATTATGTCACAGAATGACTACTGAGCCTCTTTGAATGCACAGGTTGTTAATTGCTATAATAATGTCTTTAGTTATAGAAAAATACTTTATTAATGAAATATGAAGCTTATGACTTTCTGCAACTTGATTAATGTTCAGCTAGACTTGAATTCCGACTAGCGGTCGGCCACCACTGCTTGACAGGAAGAGAGCCATAAATCTCTTTAAATACATACTGACGCTGCATTTGCTTGCAGATCGGTGACAATGCTTACTGTCTTGTTTACAGGTCACTGGACTTTATGAATTTCATCTTCAGTCTTTTTCCTGTAAGTACATGCTGAATTTTGAGTAATATAATTGGTTTTGTAAGCTAAAAAAGTTGTAGAAAGGTAAAATGCCATATTCACTGTCCAAGCACATACATCGCTATGAATGTTGAGGTTTGAATTGCTTCCATGTTCTGAAAATAAGGTTGAATGACATATCATGAACTTTTCAAAATATTGTCATTGCTGGTTCTAATAGTTCCCTTTCAATGTCTAATTTCTTTTAAGGATAGCTTTCACGGTGTTTTGTTAGAATCAAATCATTAATAGAATGCTGGTAGTACATGAAAATTTCAGAAACGACACAAAAGTGGATTAGACAGCCATATTACTTTATAGCTTACATTGGCTCAGAGAATTCTGAAACCATTAGATTGCTTTTCTGAGAGTAGGAAAGTAGGAATTTATGGCTGATTTTCTGGTTGGCGTCACCTGACACAGTGCCTGACGTGGGGTAAGCACTCAACCCACTACGACAGGTTTGGTGGATGGGCCTCAGGCAAACAGACAAGTGCAAACGACATCCTCCATTCCTATCCTCTGCCTTCATTTTTGGATCATTGTTGTCAAGGGATAGAGATTCTAATCAATTTCTCACTTTATTGGAGGGAAGAAAGTGGGGAAGGAAGATGACTGAGGAAAAAATGGATTTTTATAAAGATGTTTTCCCTGCCTTGCCTATCACTTAAGGCAAGTCAATAACTAGACTTCTTCAGTTGGCTAATTACAAGAAAAATACCTATTGTCTTATTTTTCCTGATACTCTTTCTACTGAGGCAAAAACCAAATATGGTTTAATTATGTTTCCTGAAGCCTATGTGATCATAGGTTGTATTTCCTCATTTTGTTAATATAATGAAGCCTTGTAGTAATGTTCTCCATATTTCTCGTAACATTTTTGGGATTAATTTTAAGGCATTTTGAAGCTCATAAAGCAATGTAGATTATCCTAAGGTAGGCTTTACAAAGCCAGTTTCCCTCAGAGATGCCCCAAAGTAATTTCCCTACATTTAAATTCACTCCTACTTTGAAGTCCATGTAAAGGCAGATCTTCAACATTACAAAACCATGCTGGTTTTAAAAAAGTAAAAGACATTTTTATGGTTTAATTCTATTTTATTTCAGGATATGCAGAGAGAGGAACAAAATACTTTATAATTCATCCTTAAATCCTTCAAATCTAAGTCAAAGCAATTCATTATAGTCTCCTCCTCCCAGAGGAAGCCCACTGAGACTTGGCACCCATTCCTTATTTTCAGCTTGAGTATTTCAACAACTTGACTTTCAAGTTCCCCAAAAGGAGCTGTGTTATTTTGCTAGAAAGAAGGAAGATAAGGTCAAACAATGATTCACTCCTTTGGTTTGCACAAATGTCCCCAGGGTTTTGGATTACCACAAGTAATGCCTGCACAGGGTTCAGGAGGAGGCGAGATCCCAAAGGGACAAATTAGCTCTGGGAGGAGCAGGCCACTCCCGCAGGCACCTGGCAGAGGGTCAAGTGGGATGTATGGAACACAGATGGTCTAGGACAGCTCTGTCCAATAGACAACAAATTCGAGCCACATAAGTAATCTAAATATTCTAGCAGCCACATTAAAAAAAAAGCAGAAAAGATGCAGGTGAAATCAATTTTAATAATATATTTTATTTAACTGAATATGCCCCAAATTTAATCATTTGCACATGTAATCAGTATGAAAAACTATTGAGATATTTACAGTTGTTTCCCCAGTGTTTGAAATCTAAAATGTATTATTACACCTGTGGCACATTTCAATACAAACACTACATTTTCATCAGAAATACTTGATCTGCGTTTAGATTTCGTAAGTTTGACAGTTGCATAAGTAGATTCATATACCCAAGTTGTTCCAACATACATAAAGCTTTTCCAATAACTGAACTGAGTATCAGTTTTTTAATTTAATTAAATTATTTAAAATGAAATAAAATTAAAAACTCAGTTCTCCAGTCACACTAGCCACATTCCCAAATGCCCAGTGTCTGGACATGGCTGCTGGTTCCCATACTGGGCAGTGCAGATCTCAGGGGTAAGTGGCAGTTCTGAGGACATCTGGATCCTCCTATGCCTGCTAACTAAACACACTTCCCAGGTTAAACACATCCTTAGATCTGTTCACCTGAATGGGATCACGTCATGATAGAATACAGACGTCCATTCATGTGTAATACAGGATTTTAAAGAAGAAGAGGCCCGGATCACCACCTCTCATCTCAGAGGAGGGGGCCGGGGCTGGTGCTCTATCACTTAGCAAGCCTAGGGCTGATGCCCGTGCTGCCTCATTGCCTCCAGGGTGCAAGCGAATTTGCCAGCACAAAGGACCTTACTCTCAAAACTGACTTCCACAAAAGAGCTATGCAAATGGGTCCCATGGTTTACAATATTCATTTATTTAGGTTTCAGCCAGACTTGCAGAGATTTTCTCAGTATGCCTGCAGTTCCTTATCCTCTTGAATTTCATATGATTACTTTCCAAATTATAGGAAAGCTGAACTTGAATACCCTGTCCTTTACACATTTTACCGCCTATTTTCTGTACTGTTTTACAGCAGGAATTGTTTAGTGATGAATGGTTTCTGATTCTTTTCCTGTGTGTCCTGATCACCAATCCTGTTAGGACAAGAACTTCTGCATCATTTCTCTGCCGCACCTTACCCCTGAGTTTGCCCTCATCCAGAACTTCGTGAAGATTGTCCCCTTCCACAACTGTACGCTGGAGCAGGATCTCTATGTCTTCCATCGGGCTGGATTGCTCAAGTAAGTGGGCATACGTTTGGCCAAAAGACAGTCCATGAAATTAACCAAAGAGAATGGAACAAGGAGCTTGGTACCATTTTAACTTAATGATTTCTTTTAAAAATTGTTTTACTGGTGGAGGGCTTGATCAAGTGATTTTAACCTATTGGTTAGGGAAAAAGTCATATTAAGAGTTACCTGTCCAGTCAGACATTTTATTGTCAATAAAAGACCATTTGATACCAAAATAGAAAAACTGACCAAAAAAATAAAATGGCCAGACTGTTTGCATATGAAGAAAAACAAACAAACAAAAAATAATGGATATTTAAAAATCTTCAAACTTATTCATCAGGGGAAAGGAAACCCAGATAAGACAAGATCTAAAATAGAGAAGCATTCAGTTCTAATGAAACAATGTAGCAGTGGTCAGAATGTAATTGACATGAAATTTCCAAGGACAATTTGTCCAGAATGGGGCAGTGGTTCATATCCTTCAATTCTTTAATTCCACTCCTAGAAATATATCCTAAAAACTGGTTGCAGAGATGCAAACAAAAATTTATATATAAGGATTAAAGATATTGGAAATACTCTAAATGCCTAATAATAGGAGAATGTTTAAATACTTATATGAAGTATAACTATGAAGGAATTATAACTCTGTTTGCAATTCATTTAAAGAATTTTTAATGAATGGAAAATGCTCAGAATGTAATGCTAGGCTCATACCAGTATATAAAACAGCATTTAAATATGACCTAAATCTCTAAAGAAAGAAAAAACATGAATAAACTGGAGTAAAGGGGGACATGCTGATGTGATACTATGCTATGCCATCCAACCCTTCTTGTTCAGGACTAAAGAACTCACTTTCTAACTGTGGGATGTGTGAGCACCAACAGCTTGAAGCTGGGTCCCTCTTGAAAGAGATTGCGCCGGACTGAAGAGAAGGGCTTTGCCCAAGTTTGCCCCTCCTTACAGGGGTGGAGGATCCTAAGAGCTCACCACAATAAATCCCAGCCTGTAGAGCTCTGTGTGAGGCTGCCTCCCACAGGGAACCTGGCCTGCAACGCTAGAGGGGGTCAATGGTTGCCCTTGGGCGGTACTAGGAATATCTGGGATGATTTTTAATTCCCTTCTTTATATTGCCTAAAATTTGGAATTCTACACCCAGCTTGTGTACTGCCTAGGATTCTTGTGCGGGCAAGTAGTAGAAACCCAACCAATTGGCTTAAGTAACTGGAGAATTTTTTACCACATAGAGTCAAGTGAAGAATCCAGTCAAGTGAAGAATCCATCCATCCAATCAATGGCGATGCTGGTTTCATAGAGGGTTTAGTTAGTCCTATTTGGTCTGTCTCTTCCAGGTTGACCCTTCTTAACCCAGTGCTTCCTCTGTGGTTGCAGGATGGCTGAGATAGCTTTAGACCTTTTATCACTTCAAGTCCAATGGGAAAAGAGTGATGGGTATGCTTCTTTTCAGAAGCCCCAACACAAAAGTCTATTTGCCTCTCATTGACTCAGATTGTGTCCTGTGCTGACCCATCACTGGACCAGAGGCTGTTGGTTGGTATCATTTAGGGCTGTTCCCAGAGCTCAGGTGTTGGAAGGGTGCATTGCCAGACACAAATCTGGGGCCATCGCTGAAGAATCGGGCAGTTGAGCTTCTCCCTACAGCTCTGTTTCAGGACAGGACCATCTTGATCAATAGAAAATGAACAGTATATGTGTGATAGGAATAATATCAATACTTTGCGTTTTCTATAATTTACCTTTTTTAAGCTAAGGTCTTATACATGCAGTCTTATTCTTACAAGATATCATGGAGTTCATCAAACTGCATTTAAAATGGGTGCATTTTATAGAATGTAAATGAGACCTCAGTAAAATTACTGCAAAATCTTACGACAAATGGATTGGTGGAGTAGTTTCAGAGAGCTTTCTCTATAATTGATATATTAGCGTTTTAAATGAAACTTTGAGAAACATCCTGAATGATCACTTTATGTTTGGGGGCTGGCTAAATGTATTTTGGCATATTCATTCAGAACATTACTATACAGATTTTGAAAAAATAGAAACAGATCTATGGAATGATGTCTAGGGTGGTGAGAAAAGCAAGTAGTCAAACAGTAATAGCAATAGCACTGATAGCTTACATGTATGGAAGGTTTATAGCATTTTGGTCACTTTCTTAATCACTTTCCCTGTATCAATACGTGCAGTGACCTTATTAGCTAGGTACCATTATAATTATCCCCATCTTACAGGTAAGGAAACTGAGACTCAGAGAGGTTAGGTAATTAGTTCAAAGTGACTCAGCAGGATGTGGCAGAGCTCGTATTAGAACTAAGGCAGTTAGGGGCGCCTGGGTGGCTCAGTCGGTTAAGTGTCCAGCTCTTTTTTTTTTTTTTTTTTAAAGATTTTATTTATTTATATGACAGAGAGACACAGTGAGAGAGGGAACACAAGCAGGGGGAGCGGGAGAGGGAGAAGCAGGCTTCCCGCGGAGCAGGGAGCCCGATGCGGGGCTCGATCCCAGGACCCTGGGACCATGACCTGAGCCGAAGGCAGACGCGTAACGACTGAGCCACCCAGGCGCCCCAAGTGTCCAGCTCTTAATTTCAGCTCAGGTCATGATCTCAGGGTCCTGGTGTTGAGCCCCGCATGGGGCTCCCTGCTCAGTGCAGAGTCGGCTTGAGATTTTTCTCTCCTTCTCCCTTTGCCCCTCTCCACCCTGCTCTCACAGGCTCTATGTCTCTCTCTCTCTCTAAAAAAAAAAAAGAACTAAGGCAGTTAGCTTCCAGAGTCAACACATCACCACTTCATATATTGCTTCTCTTTACTGTGTTTTCAGGTGAAGCCACTGCAACAGAAAGACCCCAAAACACAGTGGCTTGAGTCAGATAGAAATTCCACCTCTATCACACGGTAGTGCCGACGTGAGCGGAAGAGCAGCATTTTCCCCATGAAGTTGTGCAGGGACCAAAATTCCTTCTCTTACTGCTTCTTCATCTGGTAGAGTAAGGGTGTTTACCTAACATCTGCATAATGAGTCAGGGGTCTGTGGATTTGGTTGGAAAGAAAAACTCCATCTTTATTTTACTAAGCTCTAATTGAAATTTAGCATGTGCTTCCACTGTGAATGGAGGCAACATGCCTCAGAAGTGTTCCCGAAGCCACGACTTTGTAACCAGTAGAAATCATGGATATTTTCATATCATGTTACAGTTGTTCCAGATGTCTCAAAATATGTATGCTCATCCTACTTTGAAATTTCCCTAAATTTATTCTAACCAGACTTGTTACTTAATGCATTAATTAGGAGGCATAGATATTACTAAAACATACATTTTTAAACATTTTGTAACTCTATTTCAATGTAATTCATTGTCTTTTATTTTACACATTTAAAAACATTAGTCTGAGCAGGGGCCCTAGCATCACCAGACTGCCAGAGGGGTCCATGGCACACAAAATTTCTAGACTATGGCCAGAGTGGGCTCTTTTCCTTCTCATGCTTCGAGCTGGCTCAGAGCGTGGCCACATTTCAGCCCATGGAGAAGGGTAGGAAGAGAAATGAAGAAGCACTTCCCTTTTATGGAACTTACATCACTTCTGTGCATAGTCTGTGGTCAGGAAGTTGGGTGCATAGCGGAGGGTATGTCACTGATAGGTTGGTGTGTGCCCAAAGTTGGTTCTGTTATTAAAAAGAAGAAGGGGGGAGAGGATACTGTAGACACATCACTTCTAGTTTTTATCTTGCATATATATAGAAGTTCTAGAAAGGTACACAGGACTTTATTAACTTTATTAACCTTGGGTACACAGGACTTCATTAACCTGAGGAGAAGGGGGGGTATAGCTGGCAACTTATTTTAGCTTTATGTTTATCAGTGCTTTGATTTTGTTTCATTAATGAACTTTTTGGAGCAGTTTTAGGTTTATAGCAACACTGAGAAGAAAGTACAGGGGTTTCTACTTACCTCTGTCCCCCCTCCCACCCACAGACTCTCCCTCAGTTTACATCCCACAGCAGAGTTATGCCATTTGTTACCATTGATGAACCCATATCGACTCATCGGGGGTTTAGTCTTTCTGTTTTGCATTTTGTACGTTTTGACAAATGCATAAAGACATGGATCCACTATTTTAGTATCCTACAGAGTAGATTCTAAAAATCCTCTGTGCTCTACCTCTTTCGTCCCTCTCTCCTTCCCCACAACCCCTGGTAACCACTGATCTTTTTTAAAGTTTTGTCTCCAGTTTTGCCTTTTCTAGAATGTTCTATAGTTGGAATCATACAGTATGTAGCCTTTACAGATTGACCTTTTTCACTTAGTAATACACATTTTAAAGTTCCTCTATGGCTTGATAGTTCATTTCTTTTTGGCGCTGAGTAATATTCCATTGTCTGGGTGTAGCATAATTTATTTATCTGTCCGCTCATTGAAAAGCATCTTGGTTACTTTTAATGGCAATTATGAATAAAGCTTCTATAAACATTTGTGTGCAGGTTTTTGTGTGGGTGTAAGTTTTCAGCTCATTTGAGTATATACCAAGGAGCACAAGTTTGGGTCATATGGTAGGAGTGTTTAGTTTTTTGTCTTGTTTTTTTCTTTTTTAAAGATTTTATTTATTTATTTGAGAGAGAGAGAGCACACACAGAGGGAAAGGGAGAGGAAGAAGCAGGCTCTCCGCTGAGCAGGGAGCCTGATGCGGGACTCGATCCCAGGACCCTGGGATCATGACCTGAGCCGAAAGCAGACATTTAACCGACTGAGCCACCCAGGTACCCAAGAGTGTTTAGTTTTATATAAACCTCCAAACTGTCTTCCAAAGTGGCTGTACCATTCTGCAATCCCACCAGCAAAGAATGAGAGTTCCTGTTGCTCCACATCTCCACCAGCACTGGTACTGTGAGTGTCTTGAATTTCTGCCATTCTAATAGGTGTGTAGTGTTATCTTGTTGATTTGATTTGTAATTCCATAATGATGTATGGTATTGAGCATCTTTT